AACGGCGGTATGGGACGGAACAACTTGTGAACTCAACACGTCCACAAGCCGGGTAGGGAAGAAGAGAACCTTCAGTCAACACCTGTCGATTCCCCCTCTATGAGGAAATGTTGCGGTTTATATAGCGGAGCTTGGTAATTAGTTTTGCCTTTTCTACTATCGATATACTCCTACTTCATGGGTTGGTTCGCGCGCACGCTGGTTTAACGGTGATGGCTTGGACTCATCGTTACAATTGAAAACGGGCAGCGTGGACAAGACAGATTATACCAAATCAGATCTGTTCTGAGCCAAATCAGAGAACAGCTACTAGTGGTATTTGAAAAATAATTTCTAGCTATAAACGAACAGATTATACCAACAAAAAGTATATTATACCCACATAAGTTGATCTTCAAAAACTTTATGCTGAGTGGTATTTCGAGATTCAAGTATGACTTTGATTTGCTTGCTGGTTCCCCAAGTTACGCTATATCTCCAGAGTATTAGATATGAGTAGCAATGTGAATGTAAAATTAGTAGATTCGATACAAAACATAAATATTAAAAGTTATTTTTTGACAACTGATTCAGAAGCATAACTCTTAGGATATATCTGACCAAAGAGGGTAATCGTGTTCCAGCTAAGAAAGAAATGAAGAAGCGAGGTAGGTGTCATATGGTAAAGAGTATGTCAATATATACACTGTGGATCTCAGTATAGTACTCTGGTGTGATAATAAAATCGTTATTACGTCAACATGTCAACATATGCAGAAAGTGAACCAGAAGAAGAAAAAGCAAGATTTTTCAAACAAAAAATTAAACATAAAATGATACCTTGGCCTGAAAGTAACCTAAACCCTAAACGATTAGAGTCATTTAAAATGTGGTGCTACCGGCGTATGTTAAAGGTCTCATATATACGCAACACAACTAACGTAACTATTTTCCAGAGGCTAAGAGAAGACAAAGAAATTGGCATAGCAAAACACCATAAAGGACAGAAAATTGGCTTACTTTTTCCACGTTTTGAGTAATAGTAAATACCGACTTCTACAGTTGATTCTACAAGTTAAGATTGAGAGCAAAAAAGATTAGAATGGGGAACAAATAATTGGGAATATGATTAAAAAACAACCGAGAAAGAGGAACAGAAACAAAACAAACAAAATCACACAAAAAAGTAATTAAATAAATGAAATAACTCTAGAATGCAAACAAAAAACAACAAAAAATTAGTTACTGAATAAGAAATCAAAAATGAAGGTATATAAAACAATTTACAAATAAAGCTATATAAAACAAAAACACCAGTCTACCTGGGAAAAATTGATTTTCCGTAAAAATCTTAAACAGGTCTTAATTTTTTTAGTTTCTAAATTAAAATACATAAACAATTCAACAAGAAAGTTGCAAAAAACCCTTAATTTTTGTATTAAGCTTTGGAGTATAAAGACAAACATGACACAAAAAATCAAGAATGGTGGTCGAAAAATATACAAACGTTAGTAAACAAGAAGAAAACTGTTTATCAGAATGGATGTCAACTAGAAAGGAGGAAAATTACAAGATATATAAAAAATTAAATCGAGATGTAGTGAAAAGTAAAAATGAGATGTGGGATCGAAGATGTGCAGAGGTGAATAGGTATATGGGTGGAACAAAAGTTGAGCAAGCGTGGAAGTTGATTAAGTCTCTCCGGAGGGAAGGAAAGGAAAAATTTGACAGTTAATATATCTGAAACACTGGAAACACCATTATGAGGTCTTAGTGACAGTGGATAGATGTAAATTCCAAGAGATAGAAATGGAAGAAATATCCGAACATACACAAATACTTGAGATAACAACCGGAGAGTTAAGCGATGCCCTCAAAAGATCAAAAAACTATAAAGCAGCAGGAGCTGGAGACATCCCAATTGAATTGGTAAAGTATGGACCAAAAATATTACATGAGATGTTGGTTCAACTGTTTAACAAATGCTTAAAATGGATACAATTTGATTGCACAAATTGGATAAATTTGATACATCAGCTCAATATTCAAGAAAGAGGATAAACGCAAATGCTCTAATTATCGGGGAATAACTGTTATCAGCTCAGTGGGGAGGTTGTAAAATAAATAATAGAATCAGAATACGAAGACATAGAAGAACAAAATGGATTTCGTGCAGGAAGATCGTGCACTGATAGTATATTCGTTCTGTAGCAGGTAATCCAAAAACGGAAGGCAAGGAATCTATCTACCCACCTATTGTTTTTAAATTTAGAGAATGCATAGGACAAGGTACCTTTGAAAAAACTGTTTCAAACATTGACAAAAGTAAGTGTCAATAGAGAGTATGTAGATGATATCGCAAAAATATACAAAAATGCAAGAAGTGTCTTTAAAGAAGGAAACTTTATATTTGAACTATTTACTCAATGAACTCAATATAAATATGTCAAAGACAGAGTATCTTAAAATAGGAAATGATGAAGAAGATCCAGAATTAGAATAAGAAACACAAAAACATGCAATGAATATCAATATCTCGGATCTATAATATCTAAAGAAGACACTACCAAAAGAGACATCTAAAACCGAACGCAGCAGGTAAAAAAGCGATAAACATTCTAGACTCTTTACTATAATCTAAAGATACTAGACAAGAAACGAAATTTGCAATATATCGAACCTTGGTAGAGCCAATTATGACTTATGACTTAAATGACTTAAGTTACTGTTTACTTAAATCACTTAAATTATGACTTATGACTTAAAAAAGATCATATCAGGAATGAAGATATCAGAAGGAAGACAAATACTGTATATTCCAGTGTAGACAGAATTGAAACGAGACAACTAGTGTGGTATGGTCACGTGAAGCGAATAAATGAAGATAAGTGGCCAAAGAATGCTTTAAATTACATACCACAACACAAAAGAAGAAGGGGAAGGCCTTTAATTGCCTGGGAAGTTAATGTACGGCACATAATGAGAGATAGAGCCATCAGAGAAGACGAACAGTTTGAAAAAGGACTGACTTTTTAGCTTATAAACAATTATAATAAATCTAACATTTTTTTTGCCACACGCTTGTAAGTAGATTCCGTACAAATCAGGAGAAAAAACACACTTTCCAAAAAAAAACAAAATAAGGGTTTTTTAAAAATTATCTTAGTAAATTGTTTATATATTTTAATTCGGAAACTCGAGAAAAAAAAACTTTTTATGATCTACAATTTTTATTTGAAATTTATTTCCCTAGAATCTATAAAAAAACTTCTTATACGCAAAAAACTATGTTTTTTAGTCATTGTTTAAAAATAAAACAAAAGAGAAGCAACTGTACGTCTTCACAGATTTTTATCAGCTACCCCTCATTTACCTTTTAAAACCTTCAAATATCTTTATAAGATTTTTTCAGCTTTCTTTTTTCCTTGACTGGGGTAAAATTACTGTTTATGTTACTCATCTTGATATTCTTGTCCTTAACATTGAACTTGTTTGTTTATAGGCGCCATTGACAACTACAAATTGACTAAACACCACAAAAAATAACTTTCAGCGTATTGCAATATGTTTAATATAATTTTATTTTAAAATAATTAAGTGTTTAAAAAGGTAAAAATTAGCTAATGTGATATTAGATTAATTTGATTAATTGTTATTGGACAGGAAGACCTTAGAATATTATAAAGAAATATAATAAGAGCTATATTAAGACCAATAAAAATAATTTAAAAACAACTTAGACAAAGAATAAGAGCCGTAAAAATAAAGTAACAAGAACCAATACCGCTAGGACATAATATATATATATATATATATATATATATATAATAATATATATAATATATATATATATATACTTTGGAGGATAACTTTCGGGAAAGCGTCAAAACAAGGATCAGCTAGAGATGGTATAAGCCAGTTTGGTGTAGAACTTTATTCTAAATGTGAAATTTTTCGGTGATATGTTGTCACCTTCATCAGCACCTAAATGGAAAACCTATTTTAGTACAAGTGGTGGAATTTTATTCAAAATTTTAAATGTATTTTTTAATATTTTTAACATGTTTGTGACAGTGTTCTTCACCTCTAGGACCAACTGAACATTTTCAATGTAGGTTTTATGTTAATTTCCACCACTTGTACTAAAATAGGTTTTCCATTTAGGTGCTGATGAAGGTGACAACATATCACCGAAAATTTCACATTTAGAATAAAGTTCTACACCAAACTGGCTTATACCATCTCTAGCTGATCCTTGTTTTGACGCTTTCCCGAAAGTTATCCTCCAAAGAATTGTATTCTTAGCGTCGTTACACAAACTCTATATATATATATAAATATATAAATATATATATATATATATATATATATATTATATATATATATAATATATATATATAATATATAGAGCAGAATCATCAATAGCAATATTGTCAATATCAAATTCAAGTGTTAAAAGAAGGTAAGATTACAATGAAAAAGAAATCCACATAGCTACAAGCAGTAACAAAGAAGCTGAATATGGCTGTCAAAAATGGAAATAAAAACAAGAGACAGAAATTCCTCGAAGAATAATTAAGAAAATAAATAAGAAACGAAATAAATCAAAAGAAATGTAATGTAGGGAGCTTTAAAAGCAGCGCAACCCCTGTAGGGGTGTTTAGTATATACCTATATACTATATAATGACCAAAAAGGTAAAAAAATTAAAATTATTAGACGGCATCAGATCAAAAACTCGTAATTGAGTGTAAGAAATATGCTTCTGACTCAAGATGTAAGTATTCAATAAGAGGCCAAATAGTCTACAGATTAGCAATGTATTGCAAAAAACAAAAGCAACAGTAACTAATCAAAGTTTAAAGTATATTTTTTCAGCAAAATACATATAAACTATTAAATTAAAGAACAAACGGTAACGAAACTATTTTCAAATTATGAAATTATAAGATTACTTTACATCATTTATAATCGCAACATTTGTATAAACTAAATCTGAGCAAAAAAAATAGTTTCCTTACCCTCCTTTTTCTCCATTTTCTATGTTTGTGCCATTCTTCTCTACTTTAACGGCTCCATTCGTCATGAAGTTATCGTGACCGTTGAGAACTGTATTCATGTTTACGATATAAATAATGAAATAAACTTTTCACACAAATCGTTCAAAAATTATGCAAAACTGCTTGAGCCGGGAGCTAGGCAACTCTTATATACTCTTCTATATCGTCTTGTACTAACGAGATAAAGAGACATATCGTACGTCACAAGTATTAGTTTTGATGTTTATTATTTTTTTTTGTTCTATGTAATATTTTATATTTTCAAGCCTTATCGTTTTCATCACTTGACCTTCAAGTGTTGGTAGCAACAGAATTTGTTTTGATGGATGGATGGTTGGATGGTGTAATATGAGTTATTTTCGTCAAATCGAACGCAAGAAAGTCATATCACTGACAGTTAAAAATTTGAATTATATAGGTTGTCCAAATGTACTTACATGCATTGATTATAAACAAGTAATGTGAAACAGATATTTTTAAATTATTTTAAATTGCTTTTACCAATATTGTATTGGAAATAAATAATAAGTATTATCAAACTGCTTCAAACTTATGAAAATTATCAAAATATTGTTTACCGATTATTATATCACGGCACTGGTTTCTCGATGTTTTTGTCTATTTTGCTTATTTGTTTTGATTGTACGTATTGTATGATTAGTATTAGAGTATAAAAGTTTTCCTGTCAATGGATGAAAGAAGGCGAAGAATGGTCTTCTTTTTCTTGTTAGCCTTCTATCAACCATTTTTGGGCATAGGACTCTAGCAATTCCTTCCATCGATCTCTATCCTGAGCAAGATACTTCCAATTTGTTCCGGCTATTTTTTTCATGTCATCTACCTATCTAATTACTATTTAACTGGGAATAAGCAAAGAAAATGGAAAGAAAGAATTTGGAGTGGCTTTCGTAGTAGATAAGAACATCAAAAACAATATCTTAGATTTCGAAGCAATAAATGAGAGATTATGTAGATTGAGGCTAAAAACAAAATTTTTTAACCTCACAATCATTAATGCCCATAGTCCAACAGAAGAACACGACATAACAATAAAAGAGGAGTTCTACGATCAATTAGAAGAAATATACGACAATGCCCCAAAAAATGACATCAAGATAATATTGGGGTGACATGAACGCCCAAATAGGCAAAGAAGAACAGTTCGCAGGAATAATCGGAAAACACTCACTCCATCAAAACACCAACGAGAACGGGGAATTCCTAATTAATTTTGCCAGCAGGAAAAACATGATCGTGAGCTCTACGTTCTTTGCTCATCGGGATGTACACAAAGCAACGTGGATCATGCCAGGTGGAGCGGTTACTAACCAAATTGACCATGTCTTAATAGACAAAAGAGCTGCCACCAACATCCTAGATGTAAAAAGTCGAAGAGGAGCATGCTGTGGATCTGATCACTTGCTGGTACAAGCAAAATATAGATGCAGGATCTCAAGAAACAGAGATAAGAAAGAACAGATAAAAGAGCAGTTGGACATTGATAAATTAAGCCAACAAAACGTTAAACTGAGCTACGAGACAGAAATAACCCAGACACTTATAAACACAGATAACCTAGACATTGAAGAACATTGGAAACAAATGAAGACAAAAGTATTAAATGCAGCAACAAAGACTATCGGTAAAAAGGTAAAGAAGCAAAGGGCAGAATGGTTTAACGAAGAGTGTAGACGGGCCATACACGAACGAAATGAAGCTCACAAGAAATATATGGAAAGGCGAACCAGAGAAAGAAGAACATTTTTCGAGGAGCTACGACGCAGGGCGGATAAAATATGTCGAGGAGAAAAAAGAAAATGGGAAAATAATAAGATACAGAAAATGGAACAAAACCTCCAAAGCAACGATCTAAGGGAGGCGTATAAATATCTTCGACAACTAAGAGAAGGATACAAACCCCGAACAAGTCTGTGCAGAAACCAAACAGATAAGATAATTAGTGAACCAACGCAAATAAAATCAGTTTGGAAAAGCCATTTCCAAGCTCTGCTAGGAGCACAAGGAAGCTCACGATCTTCGGATTTGCGGCACATCGAGGAAGGAGACGAAGAAATAAGCAGCCCGACTCTTAAAGAAGTCAAACAAGCAATACAGGCGCAAAGAAACAACAAAGCGCCGGGATTTGACGATGTCCCTTCCGAACTGTATAAATTAGGTGGCGAACATCTAACAACGCAGGTGCACGCGCTCATATCTAAGGTATGGAGGGAAGAAAAAATTCCTAGCGATTGGAAAAATGGGATTATCTGCCCAATCTACAAAAAAGGGGACAAACTTAAATGCGAAAATTACCGCGGCATAACCCTCCTATGTTCGGCCTACAAAATTTTTACATCCATCCTGAATAGGCGACTTCAACCATTATGTGAAAATATTATCGGCGAATACCAGACCGGTTTTCGACAAGGCAGGTCGACAATAGATCAGCTTTTTACAGTAAAGCAAATCCTTAATAAAGCTTGGGAACACGATATTGATATTCACAATATATTTGTCTACTTAAAACAGGCTTATGACTCCATAAATAGAAGCCGGTTATATAACATCATGGAAAGCTTCAATATTCCCTCGAAATATATCCGACTAGTAAAAGCAACGATGGACTCCACAATAGCAACTGTACGCATACAGTACGAATTAACTGACAGCTTCGAAATAGTTCAAGGCTGAAACAAGGTGATGGACTAGCTCCAACACTGTTCAATCTGGCCCTTGAATATGTCATCAGAAAGCTGAATGTCGGAAGAGCCAATCTCCTAACAAACAAATCTGTCCAGCTCGCCGCATATGCGGATGACATTAACCTCATGTCCCGCAGAGTGGATGATGCAGCAGAAACATATTCGCAGCTGAAAAAAACGGCCAAGGAAATTGGACTTGAAATAAATACACAGAAGACAAAAATACTAACACAGACGCGGACAAAGCGAACAAGAAATCAAATCAAAGTAGAGGATGACATTGAAACAGTGAAGAGTTTTACTTATCTGGGAGTCGAAATGAATACGGAGGGAACAGAAGAGGCCGAAATTCAGAAGAGAATAATGAAGGGAAATAAAGCCTATTTTTCCCTGATTAACATATTCCGCTCCAAGACGGTACATCGAAAATCGAAACTTAAGGTCTATAAAACTATCATCAGACCGATAGTATGCTATGGATGCGAGACATGGGTTTTGACAGAAAGCACTAAACGAAGATTAGAGGTTTTCGAGAGAAAAATCCTAAGGAAGATCTTTGGACCCATCACTCAAAATGGGATGTGGAGATCTAGATATAACCATGAACTCTACCAACTGTTCAAAGAAGCACCTATTGCAGAGTTTGCTAGAGTACAAAGGCTTCAATGGGGTGGTCATGTGGTACGGATGGATGCCGACAGATTGCCGAGAAAGGCCTTGGATGGTAAGATGCAGGGCAGAAGACCAAAGGGAAGACCACGTAATAGATGGGAGAACGAAGTCACAGCAGATGCGCACAACTTATTGAACGTCAGGGCTTGGAGACGAGTGGCGCGGGATCGCCTTTGTTGGAGGCAGAAGTTACAGGAGGCCAAGGCTCAATTTGGGCTGTAGCGCCATTGGAAGAAGAAGAAGAAGCCACAATTAAAGGTTAAAATACGTTTATTGACGTTTCAATTTCCATTTTTTAATGGTGTTACATTCACCATCATCATCATCTTTGGCTCAACAATCCTCTGTGGATCTTGGCCTGCTCTAAGATTCGTCGCCATTCTGTTTGATTTTTTGGCAACATGTTGCCATCTTCTGATTTTTAATATTCGTAAGTCGGTTTCAACTCCATCTATCCACCTAATTCGCGGTCGGCCGTTGCTTCTTTTTCCTACAGGTGTTCCTGTGGTTAGCTTTTTAGCAATCGCATTTTCTGGCATTCGTATTATGTGTCCAGTCCAAGTCGCTGTGTTTTAATGAACATTATGACATCTGGCTCATCAAAGATTCAAAATTATATCTTCTGCGCCCCTGCCCTTGGTCGTTTACAGCTCCAAATATTTTGCGGAGTATTTTACGCTCAAATATTCCCAAAAGTCTTTCATCTTTCTGCGTTAGAGTCCATGTTTCTGCTCCATATGTGAGGACCAGCCTCAACAATGTTTTGTATATAATAATTTTAGTTCTTCTTTGAATGTTTCTTGAGTGGAAATACTTTTGGAGTCCATAGTATGCCCTATTTGTAAGATTTATTCGTCTTTTGATTTCTTCGCTTGTTTTATTGGTAGCAGTCAATAGCGACCCAAGGTATGTGAAGTTGTCAACACGTTCAAAGGTATGACTTCCAAAGACTGTTTCTCGTTCCTCATTTGCTATCGGATCCTTTGTAACCAACATGTACTTGCTTTTGTCTTCGTTGATGACTAGACCCACCTGTTTCGCCGCTGTTTCCAATTCTAGGAGATATTGCTCAACATCTCTCTTGCTACGCCCTACTATGTCAATGTCATCAGCATATGCTAAGACTTGTATCGATCTATTATAAATAGTACCGCCATCCCTAATTCGTGTATCTCGGACTGCCTTTTCTAAAGCAGTATTAAATAGGAGGCAAGCCAGAGCATCCCCTTGTCTGAGTCCATCCTTTATCTCAAAGGATCTAGAACTCTCTCCCTGTATTCTAACAGTGGCTTCTAAGTTAGACATTGTCATTCTCGTTAGTCGGATAAGTTTCTCTAGTATACCAAACTCATGCATTGATTGGTATAGCACTGTTCTCTTGACACTGTCGTATGCGGCCTTGAAGTCGACGAATAGGTGATGGGTTTCAATATTGAATGCTAATGTTTTCTCGAGAATCTGTCTTATTAAATGAATCTGGTCAATTGTTGATTTTTCTGGAGTGAATCCAGCTTGATATTTACCAACTATGCCCACTGTGTAAACTTGCAGTCTTTCGTAGAGAATATTTGCTAGTATTTTGTAAGCAGTTGTTAACAGGGTTATACCTCTATAGTTGTCACACTGGAGCTGGTCACCTTTTTTATGTAACGGGCATATCACGCCTTGAGACCATTCACAAGGCATGGTCTCATTATGCCAAACAAGAAGTAAAAGCTTATGCAGTGTCTGTAGTAGGGCATCGCCACCATTCTTGTAGAGGTCACTGCAAATTTGATCAACTCCTGGTGATTTATTATTTTTAAGCTTTTTAACATTAT